TGTAAACTGCTTAGAGAGGGCTGAAAGCCCTATGAAGCGGTATATAAGTCTAACTGCTATTGCTATTGCTATGTAAAGTGTTTGCAAGCCAACAAGACTTTGAGGCAGAGAAATCACATTGCTTCAAGCCTTCCATCAGCTTCTGGGGGCTCTGATTTCACACCCAATTCTTACCTTCTTACCTTTGCATATCTTATACTAATTGTGTACACTTTATCCACAGCTGCATTTCATTCCAAAAAATTGGTAAGGATTCAGCAACACATTCCCTAATATCTTTACCAGGTTTCCTCAAAATTGGGCAGATTTGTTTCTGTCTTAATTACAGCACTTAAATCTTTTCCAATTTTATTTATTATTTTCCTTATTTTCCAAATTTCTTAGAATTTTTCTCCTCAATTTATTTCATCTTTCCACTTGCTTAATTATATAATTTTCAATGTGTTATTCATCTTGCAAAGTTTTCCTATATTTATTCAAGTGTCACCAAATCTCTCTTAACAGATTTAGTCATTGATACTGTAATATTCTTTTTCAATTATTCTATTTTTAATTTATAATGAAAAAAGAGAAAGTAAAAAGTAGATTGTGACCTTTTTTCCTCCTTTCTTTATATCCTTAACTCTTTGGTCCCATTTAGCATTCCATAGTTCTATAGGCATGTAATCTTGCACAATTTACCCTTATCTCTTCATTTAATAAAATCAGCCAATCATCTCTTTTAAGGAAATTTAATCAGTAGTTCATTCCCACTGAGGTATACCTTATTTATTTAATTAATTCAAACATACTTTCTAATAAACAATATTCCCAATTCAACTGCTCTCTTAATTGCTTTTAAACTTTTATACTTAAAATATTTGGTAGGCTTTTTGCTGTTAGTTGCTTTTAAGTCCTTACAATTATTTCTTTAGTTTTTATTTTAATTTTGCTCTTCGCCAACGGAAAACTCACTAGGTCGTTTAGTTGCTTTACTGCTTCAAAGATCTTTATAACATTTAGAGTATTTGTAATCCAAAGTGAACTAGAAAGTGGAATTTTGGGCAAACCAAGTATGCTTAATGCATACTTTACATGAGGCTGTAAGCAGCCTAAAGAGCAGCTGTCTGTAGTACATGTGGGTGATCTTATGATCTGTCCTTTTTCTGGAGAGACTTTGTTGGTCAGAACCTTCTAGCTACTCATCTCCATAATGCTGTCTCTCCTTTTCATTTGCTACATATCCTCACTGGAAATTTCAGATGAACACTTTCAGGAAAAAATAATAAACTTAGATCAATATCTAAAATGAAATTCTCAAGTTGACTCCTTTTAACTTGCTCAGTAATATAGTTTTGCTTAAAGTAGCATCCCAGGTCATATTCTTTTGATAAGCATCCTTTACAGGCTATATTTAAATATAACTTTAAAAGTTATATTTCATTATCAGGGTAAAGTTTATAAAATGTTTGTATCCACTGTACAGCAGTCATTTTTTTTTTTAAGTGAAAAAGTATCTTTGAAGTTACTTCAAAATTTCATGAAATCACATCTGATGAAAACTTTGAGAAGGGATAAGCCATCTGTCTGAACATGTAAGTCAACAACAAAAGATATTTGGGAGTTTTCCAGTATCTCTTGGGCCTTAGGAGGCCTGCAAAGATATCCTTCTCTTCACATACGAGTCAATTGTCAAACTCTGCAAGGCTGGCAAGCACAAAACACAAAAACCAGTTGGATTTCTGGAAAGATCTTTATTGATGGTAGGGTAATAGAATTTTGAAACAAATTATCCTGCACAACATATATCTAGTGTGATTAAGGCAGAGTTAGTCTGAATCTCTTTCTCACAGTCTCCCCCTCCTACCAAATCTTCTTAACAGGTCTGCTACTCCCTTTATTATCATACTACTTCTTTGTGTTCAAAAGTCTGATAAGTAAGTCATGGTCAGAGTTCTCTCCTTTTTCTATATAGCATTTACACAATGTCTTAATCAACACAGCCACTTCCTCAGGTACTTCAAGTTCCAGTGCTACGACTGAATGGGTGGCTATTTGATAGCAGTTTATTTTAGCTGTATTTATGCAACTATGGAGTGCCTTCCTCAGAAAGGTTTTCCTACTCCCTACTTGGTTGATTTTTAGTTATTATTCAATTTGTATAGCCACCTATCCCAAGCTAGTTACTCTGATTTTTTTTTTGTCATGCCCTGTAAATTATTGAAAATTATTTCACCACCATGTTTTAAACCATTTGAATCCTTGTTTGTATTTAGTCTTTATTCTTGTAAATTGCCTTTGAAATTGCTCTTGATTTCTTTCTTCCATTGGAAGTTGCTGAATTTGATTAATACCAATATAAGGACAACTTTTGCCATAAATTGATTCCTAAGTTTAAAGAAATGAAGTACTCAAATCCAAACAGATATGTAAAGTAAAGATTGTACGATCTATCCAAATGTGCTATTTCCACCACAATTTTTGTGGTGCTAATGGTTTTGATTTCTGTTTCATTTTAGAACACCTTCCGAATTCAATTTTGTGGACGATGGTCAAAAAACTTGACCTGGCTTAATGGACATCCACCACAAGATGGCGATAATGTCATAGTAGAAAGAGGACAGATTTTACTACTGGTTACTAACACAAGCATTCTTAATATGCTTCATATCAAAGGTTTGATTCTTTTTTTTAACCAATCCTTTTTTCAGGTGAAGGAATTTCATTGTTAGAGAAGCCTGAAGGAGAGTACTAGCACATGCTAAATGTAGGGAGCACTGGGAAAATTCTTTCTTGCTAAACTTTACTAAATTATATTTATTTGCCATTCCTATTTATGTGTATATACTCACAAACTAAAGTAACAAGATTGAACAGTAGCAAAAGTAGCAGAAAGTATCCTGCCTTTATGGAATTATTCAATGCTACTTAAGACACTTTCTTGCTAACATCTTTGCACACTTACATATAAAGATGTAATATTAGTGCTATAGTAATCAGGGGTGGGTTCCGGCAGACACTACTGCCAGTTTGCTCAGGAACGTGCCGTGTGCGTGCACGTGCATGCGCAGTACAACTAAAATTGCTCTGTGCATACGCAGAAGCAAAAAACAAGATGGCGCCGCCTATGGAGCTGCTGGGTTTGGGGCCCCTAGGTTTGGGGCCTGGGTCGCTGCCAGCTCCAGTGACTCAGGCTGCCAAGCTACTACCAGTTCGGTCGAACTGGTCTGAACCAGTAGGAATCCACCACTGGTAGTTACAACAATGACATTAGAGCAGTGTTTCTCAACCTTGACAACTTGAAGATGTCTGGACTTCAACTCCCAGAATTCCCCAGCCAGCATTTGCTAAATATATGCATTTGCTGGCTGGGGAATTCTGGGAGTTGAAGTCCAGACATCTTCAAGTTGCCAAGGTTGAGAAACACTGGGATAAATAATTCCAAAATATGCTATTTATGCTATGCATTTGCTGGCTGGGGAATTCTGGGAGTTGAAGTCCAGACATCTTCAAGTTGTCAAGGTTGAGAAACACTGCATTAGAGTCTTCATGTTGTGATAAACCAACACAGAAATTACTGTAACGCGCTCTACATGGGGCTGCCCTTGAAGAGTGTTTGAAGACTTCAGTTAGTCCAGAACGCAGCCGCGCGAGCGATTGTGGGGGCACCCAGGTACACCCATGTCACACCTATCCTCCGCGAGCTGCACTGGCTACCCATTAGTCTCCGGACCCGCTTCAAGGTGCTGGTCGTTACCTATAAAGCCCTACATGGCATAGGACCTGGGTACCTGAGAGCGCCTCCTGCCGATTACCTCCCCCAGACCGATTAGATCTCAGGTTAGGTTAGGTCTCCTCCGGATTCCATCTGCCAGCCAATGTCGGCTGGCGACTCCCCAGGGGAGAGCTTTCTCTGTTGCAGCTCCAGCCCTTTGGAACGACCTCCCCGTTGGGATCCGGACCCTTACTACCCTCCCGGCCTTCTGCAAAGCCACCAAGTCCTGGCTGCTCCAGCAGGCTGGGGGACTTGTGAAATATCCAGCCCCACAGTAACTGTGAATGTTGTGTATTTTAAAGTGTTGTTTTGTTTATTTATCCCCTTCCCTTGTTTATTGTAAGCCGCCCGGAGTCCTTCGGGAGTGGGCGGCATACAAGACCAATACACTCAAACTCAAACTCAAACTCAAATGGTTACTGACAATGTTGCTGATGCTTTGTGATGTCTGTTCTGACTTTGATTATATCAAATTACCAGAGTTTCTGATTCTAGGATGAGAACAAGGGAGGTTAAGTAAAAGGCAAATTCTGATAATTCCCCTTCCACAGCTCTCCAAAAGCCACACTAGTCTTGCTGTTCCCTCCTGGTGTCAGAGGAAAGATGGAATGGAGCTAGAAGAAGGGAAGGAAACACTTTCCAGTTTGTGAACTTGTGAACTTTATTAATTTATGTTCCAGTTTAAAGCCAATGTTGAATACAGATGTGTTGAATCCACAAAATTGGAGAGGACCTTGCAGATGTTTAAGAACATTTATCTGCTATGTGTAGGAAATCCAGTATAAGATCATTCCCAATTGTTGGCTATGTAGTACTTGCCAACCCCTATTATCTGATTGCTTTATTTTTACAAATAACCTTTTAATATACAATCCTGCTCTGCTGTTTTATTAAACTCATTTAACAGCAGCAAATCCCCTTTTCTATTTTTTTTTGTATTTGAAAATGCTCCCTGCATCTCAGGAGGACTAGCTGGGGTCTGCCACTGTCTTCTTAGGCACATGTACCACTCTGTAGTAACATTATGTGGATAATAATTGCTATATCAGTACAACATTAAAATACATCAAAATACTGGTTGCAGTGGGGCCTGTTCCTCCTTCCGTTAAGAATTTCCAAGTATGCCTTGATAAGAATTTTGTATAATGGAGGAAATCTCTAAGTGCTTTGCACTGTTAACTTTAGGAATACATAATGGCTCATGAGAGAGGTAATATTTTTTTATTGGCTTTCCGAAAGATATGTAAAATTTTTCAGATGGTATTATTTGGATGATATAGCCATGTAAACTCAGGAAAGCTTGCCTTATCAACTCATTAAAAATAGCCTTTTGAACACAGTCAAGTGAAAAAATGGCCCTAGGAATGCAGGAATGGTTCCTGAAACAGTCTTAGTTTCAGGCTAAATAAGTTAAAGAATCCACTTCATATGCTGCTTTTAATTCCATAATGGAGAGTCCCGTATTGTATTCTGAAGCACATATATTTAGCAAACTTACAATGAAGCTTCCTTTAGAAGCAAAGGTATTCAAGAGTGTTTTAAATGCGGATGTTGGACTTTTCAACTGACCTGCTTCTACTTCTTAATATATGGTTGTAGTACCTCCCACTTGGCAATAGTTATTACCTAAACAAACAACAAAGGGAGCCTGGAGTGGTGATGGGGGAGATACGGGGAAGGAGAGAGGAGACAAAGGAAGATCTGCTAGCAATTGGGCCAGAGATATTCAAATGAGCCACAATCTGAGCTAGCTCACAAATTGTCCTATAAAACATTATCATAATGCAGTTCAAAATGAGCCTCGCCACTGGCAGTGTGTCAAGTAGCAGGCTGTGCACCAAATGGGGCATTGCTGAAGTCACAACATCCACCCTTGCCCCATACTGAGAGATTTAACTTTCATAAACAAAAGTGGGGTGCCAATCCATGAGAATGGAAGCTGTGCTACAGGCAGGCCGACTCTAACCTAGCAGAAAGGCTGCACAGTGTCTTGCTAGTTCATTTACTTTTATGGAAAAGCAATGCTGTTCATTGCCTTAGAAGGGTTTCATTTGAGCTTGAAAGGATAATAAAACCTTTTAGCCTACCTTTAAAAAAATAGTGGCAGATAATAATACTACAGCAGATCAAAACAGTGGATAATAATACATAGCGAAATGCATGTAGAAGAAACTGCTATCTTATCACCACTGATGCCTTAACTCGTCATGGAGAAACTGTGATAGGTCAGCATTTGGCAGGAGTTTGTGTGTATAAGTTGCTTCCCCCTCTATCGTTTTAAATAGGGATATTTTAATAAACGAAATTGTAAAGTCATCATTGAAATGAGCTCTTTTTGTCTTCATTTGTGGCTGTTTGGAAATAAACTGCTCCTCGGGACAGAACTTTTTCTTCCTCTCTTTAGTTGCCAAACTATATCAATATTATTATATGTAGCTGTATTGTATTTATATTTTTCAGGACACGATACAAAAAAGTTCTATAAATTATGAAAATGCTCATGTAAACTTTGACCTGAAAAGCGAAATGCTCTCAAGATTGGATTTCGTTGAGATATTACTACCATTTGTCTTCATCTTATTCAGCATTGTTTTAAATGGTCATGGCATGCTTCTAAATGCACAATGTATGATGGTCACAAAGTGGACCTATTGTTGCTTCCATTTGCACCATTGTCTTTTTGTCACTTTAAGTCCCCACGCTTCCACTTCAAAATGCGACTAGATCTCGTAGCTCCATTAATCAAGGGAGTGATCAACCGCCATGGTGGTTGGTCTTATTCGACTTTCTGTCTCTCTGAAGTCTGTAAAAAAGTCCCCATGAGTAAAAATAGGTTTCCACAGCAGCTGTTACCGTTGCTGCTGATCCTGCCATCCATAAATGCCTGTATGCAATGGTCATAACCTTCTACTCTGGCACTTGCTTTCTTTGGCAAGCCTAGCCACAATTGATGAAGTGCAGCAAACACAATGCTGCTTCAGCTTGGTTCACGTGGAGCAGTTTTCCTCCAAACAAGATGCTCTATTCAAGCTGCCGATTAAATCACCATTGCTTGGCACTGGCCCTCTCAGGGAAGAGTCCAAGCAGCTTGCAGGAGAGCACATGCCATCAGAACAGATGGGCACACATGCAGATGGCCAAGCAGCATCGGCATCAGTTTGGGGAGTTTATTTCTGACTGAGAATGCTCAAGCAGCTGCCTCCATGCAACTCTGAGTGGGAAGAAGGCTTTGATCCAGAAAAGTGCTTTCATACGCTGCTTGACTTTAAGCACACATTGAGTTTCATTAATCCTAATGAGAGAATACTAGCATATTAAAAATGCAGCACCCATTTAAATGCTTGATGAATTGGGAACTGGAATTGATACTGTTATTGCATTATGAATGTGTGATTGATTTAAAAAAACACTTTGACTCATTGCAATGCAAGACTTTATAGGGACTACTTTCAACTACGGTACAATGTTAGACTGGCTGGTGGTATGCTGGTATTTATAATGAGAAATATGCGATGCTTTCATAGGTTGGCAGACAATTTTTCATCATGTTGTCTTTACTTTGAGGTCTTTGGTGCTCTCTGAGCTTGGGGTTCGTTTGCTTGTTTTTGTACAAATTTCATTACCAAACTAGGAAACATCATCAGTGCTGAAAGGGAGTGGGGCAGTGGTGGGTTTCAATTTTTTTTAGAACCTATTCTGTAGGTGTGGCCTGTTTTGTGGGTGTGGCTTGGCAGTCGTGTGACCAGGTGGGCAGGGCCAACTTGGAAAATGTGGTGAAACTCACTTAACAATGCTCTTGCTTAGCAACCAAAATTTTGGGTTCAATTGTGGTCATAAGTTCTCTTTCTCTTTCTCTTTCTCTTTCTCTTTCTCTTTCTCTTCTTTCTCTTTCTCTCTTTCTTTCTTTCTTTCTTTTTTCCTTTCTTTCTTCCTTCTCTCTCCCCCTCTTTCTTTCTTCCTTTCTTTCATCTCTCTCCCACTTTCTCTTTTCTTTCTTTCTTTTTTCTTCCTTCCTTCCTTTCTCTTTCCTTCTTTCTCTTTCTTTCTCTCTCTTTCTCTTTCTATCTTTGTCTCTCTTTTTTCTCTCCCTCCATTCCTTACTTCTTTCCTTCCTTCCTTTCTTGTGTGTATCTCCCTCTCTCTCTCTCTTTCTTTTTTCTTTCTTTCTTCCTTCATTCCTTCCTTTCTCTCATACTTTCTCTCTTTCTCTCTCTCTCTCTCCCCCCTGCCTCATATTTTTTTGAACCCTGAAATCAGCACTTATTTTCAGGGAGTTCTTACTATTTTGGGGCACAACTTGGGGGTGGCAGGTGGGGAGGGGGAGAAGCAAGATGAGCATTTTACCATCAATGGAGAGAAATGCAATGGAGCTAGAAGTCAGGCAAGATTCACGTCTTGCTTCTCCCATGCCCACCCCGCCCCACCTGCCACCACCAAGTTGCATCCATAAAGGGGGAGAGGGGCAGGAAGCCCTGCTGTGCTTGGCCAGGGGGTGAGAAGAGACGGCAAGAATTGCAACTGCTTTTGCAGCTGAATGAGGCTGCAAAAGCAGCAGGAGGCCCCACATGCCTCGCGCCACTTGTAAGAACAGCCTTACCTTAATCGGTTGCCAAGAGCTTGGCCCCAATTGAGGCTCCCTGGGGTGAAGAGCCTCTCTGCACAAGCCCAGGCGAGTGAGAACAAATTCCCGCTGTTACAAAGGCTCCAGGATGAGGGATGGAATCTTCACCATGGGACAGTAAAGCCCTGTCTGCCAAAAGCAGTGGGGCAGCTGGGTCCCTCTACCTCAAAGGGAGGAAGGACCAGTTGGGAGAGGGGCTTTGGTCCCGCTGCCTCTGGCAAACTGGGCTTTACTATCCCATGGCGATTTCTTCCCTCTGCACGGATTCCCCACTACCTTCATTGGAAATGAGGCGGCTGTCAGAGGAGAGAGCAGTGTGCGCCTGTGGGCTTGTCCAATGAATCCTTACTTCCTGTCCTTCTTCGGCTGTTGGACAAGCCCACGTGGCATGCGCTGCCCTCTTCTCTGACAGCTGCCTCATTTCCAATGAAGGTGGTGGGGAATCCATGTCATTTCCTCCCTCTGCATGGATTCCCCACCACCTTCATTGGAAATGAGGTGGCTGTCAGAGGAGAAAGCATCACATGCCCATGGGCTTGTCCAATGAATCCTCACTTCCTGTTCCTTCTTTGGCTGTTGGAAAAGCCCACATGGTGTGTGCTCCCTTCTCGTTGATAGCTGCCTTGTTTCCAATGGGGGGGGGATGCAGAGGGAGGAATAACATGGATTTCTTCCCCCCCATTGGAAACCAGGCGGCTGTCAAAGACAAGGGAATGCGCACCACATGGGCTTCTCCAAATCCTCCCTCCAGCAAGGGAAGTGGTTGGGTGGGGCAAGCCTGGTGCAGACTGGGTGAAGGGGGTGGAGCGAGCAAGGGGGCAGGCCAGGGGAGGGAGCATTCCAGTATGGGAGTATGGAAAGACACGCTAAATTTCAGGAATGGGTATGAGCACACTAGTGCGTACCGGTTGAAACCCACCCCTGGAGTGGGGGTTTAGTCTCATTTCATATTCTTGTTGGTGTTGGTAGGAGTGGTCTTGGTGGTTTCTTGTGTGTTTTTGTTTTCTCTGAAATTCTCATAATTAGATTTATAAATAAGAATTTATAGGAGTGACATGCTGAATATTTCATAGGAAGTTCACGTCTAAATTATGTGTTAGGCTTCTATTTCCATTCCTCTTTCTTTTCAATTTTTCCAAAGAGTTTATATTCAGATACCATTTCCATGGATATCTGGTGGAAGTCCTTACTCTTATGATCCATAGATCTTCTATAAGCATTCTATACAGAAGAACCTATTATTGCACTACATTCCCTTAGAGAGAGACTGCATCTCATCTCTTTACCTCGTGCTATACAATGGATTTTTAAAAGCAAATGTCTAAAAGTGTTTTTTTTTCTCTTGAGAAAGAAAGAAAGAAGAAAGACAGAAAGACAGACAGACAGACAGACAAATTTGGCTAAACTTTCAGTTGAACCAAAAGGGCATTGCAGTTGCCTGCTGATATTTTTTGTGTATATTTTATGGTTTTTATAAGCAGCATAAATATTTGCTATGTCAATGGTGCCAAAATGACATGAATGAGAAAACAAAGACTAAATGGAAGAAGGGAGAATGAAATTTGCTGTCCCATTACCTATGCCTTTCCAGGGATACTAATGCATTTCCTAGTAGGACATCATTGATGCTGCATGGATTCTAGGCAGCAGAGAATTCATCTTGGGCTATACCTCTATCATCAAATGATGAAATGCTGTTACAATCCAAGATAAATCTTCTCTGAGATGATACCTAGATTTGATATCTTCCGGGAAGTTGTAGAATGTTTCTTTTAATCTCCTTCCTTCAAAAAAGAAAGATGATGGAAAATACTGTATCTCTCTTTTTACTGTACCACAGTGATATACTTGAATTTTAATTATATATTTAGTTTGGTTGGAAGTCCTCATAATTACTGTAAGTAGAGTTCATTTTTATTTTTCAAGATAACCTGACAGTTATTCCTTGCTTTCTTGAGCAGTCATAATAAACAGTAAGAAAGGTTGGAGCCGAATACTTTAGTTAATCAGCATTTATTATTTTCTGCTCATGGGAAACAGATCAAGTGCTATGAAAAAAGAAAGCAGGTTGGGTGTACATGTGTGTTATCCTTGTAGAGCAAAAGCTGCATATTATTATAAATTAATAAAGTGCAGAAAGGGATGAGTTCAGAAGGCTGGCAGTTGAGATACATTATATGTCATTTACTTGTTTAGATAGAAATGCCTGTAAACTCTGAAAAATGTTATAATTAGCTTAACAGGCTGGAATGTAATCTTTACCTGTCATAGCAATTCTTTCTCTCTTACTTTACGGATATCTTTATCACTCAGGCATTAGCTTTCTCTTTAGTAATGTCTGGGTTTTTCAAAAATGACAGTGAGAATAAAAGTGCCCACTGGGGAAGAAAGAAATTAGATTTTTAATATCACTTGAAAAGTATATTTATGATTGTACTTTATCACATGCATTGACATTGGCTGTGTCAGCTGTTGTCAGAGGTCTTCCATCCCTAGGTACATGTTAAAAAATGTGTGTTCACAAGTATGGTTAGGAAGAAATTTGAAGATATTTCTATTAAAGTGTGACATAAAGTGAATCTTCCTCTGTGAGAAGTACTACTTTGAGACACTAATTTAGAGAAAGTTTACTTAATTCTTATTGTGAATCAATTTGCTCAGCATGGTTCTTACATTCTTAAGCAAATAGAAATATTTTTGTGTGCTTGCCAACGATAGGCAAACAATCATTAACTTTCTGAAAGGGAAAATATCTTATTTAGCATGTTGGTTTCCCAGCATATGGATTGCCACAGTGGTTTAGAATCCCAAGAAAATGGAAAACAGAGTTAGAGCAGAAACTGAAACAAAGTTCATTTTATTTATTTAGTTAGTTAGTTTGTCAAACATGTATGAGATAACAGGTATAAGTATAAACATGAACATGAACACAGGAAATGGGTACAAATAAATGGGGACAGTAGGACAAGGATGGTAGGCACACTGATGCGCTTATGCATGTCTTCTTACAGACTTCTTAGGAATGAGGTAAGGTCCACAGTGGACAGTTTAAGGTTAAAGTTATGGGGGTTTGAGGATGTAACAACAGAGTCATGTAGTGCATTCCAGGCATTGACCACTCTGTTGCTGAAGTCATATTTTCTGCAATCGAGTTTGTTATATTGGTCATATTAGCTTGATAATGAAAACAACAGTAGGAGCAAAACAGGCAGGTTCTGAGGCCAAAGAATAGAGTAAAAAAAAGTAAAAACAAATTACTTTTTCAGAGAAGTAAATCACAGAAAGGTATCATTCTGGAATGTTGAGGGAAACTTGAAAGACTTATACATGGGTTACCTATAGGAGCTCAAATTTAAAGTTTAAGTGCGGCAAAATTTCCAAGCTTGAATGAATACAATACAGAAGATAATGTCTTAAAGTTTAAATAAAATTAATTTAAAGGCCAACCCTTTGATTAACCCTATGATCATATGATCTTATATTACAAGGAGAAAGTATGCTAAAGTCAAAGAGGGGAAAAAATCAGAATAAGAACATTTTATCTTTTTTTCTGGCATCTTTTCTTCTAATGTTACATTAAATAAAAGAATAGAATAACGGAGTTGGAAGGGAACTTGGAGGTCTTCTAGTCCAATTCCCTGCTCAAGCAGGAAACTGTATAATATTTCAGATGAATGATTGTTCGATCTTGTTCTTGAAAATCTTCAGTGATGGAGCATCCACAACTTCTGGAGACAAGTCTCCAGTTTTAGGAAACCAACTTTACTTTCTTCACTGAAAATCATAATAATCAAGTCTACTACTCTGTGAATGATATTGCATCTTATGACTGTTTACAGTTAGTGTTATTGTTGCTCGCTTTAGGTGGCAAGCTGGCATTTATTGGCCTGGTCCCCTAGAACTTCACGCTCATTCCATCCTTGTGTCTGATGGAGGAGTACTTCAGGTTGGATCTCCCAGGAAGCCATTCTGTAACATGGCCCCAGGGGTGGGTTCCTGCCAGTTCTAACCTCTTCTATAGAAGAGGTTCCACAAATCTACAGTGCCATTTAGAATCGGTTCCAGCTCCCTTGCCCTGCCCATCCGCACATCTTCAAGATGAAGAGTGAGAGGAGAAATTCTGGGAGTTGAAGTCCACAAGTCTTAAAGCTGTCAAGTTTGGACGCCCCTGGGTTTTTTTTTCTAAAGGGGTAGGGATGCAAGGGTCTTGTAACTTGACAGCTTTAAGACTTGCGTGCTTCAATGCCAGAGTTCCTGAGCCAACATTTTAGTTGCTAAGCAAGAGCGTTGTTAAGTGAGTTTCACCACATTTTCCAAGTTGGCCACGACCACCCAGTCACATGGCTGGCAAGACACTCCCACCTGGTCACATGGCCAGCAAGCCACTCCCACAAAGCAGGCCACACCTACAGAAGAGGTTCAAAACTTTTTGGAAACCCACCACTGCATGGCCCGTATCCATCTTCATGAAAGTGCCTATTCTGAAGAGTTTTTCCCATATGGAGTGAAATTTCTGGCTGTGAGAAATGGAACCCTGTCCATGCATGGTGAGTTACATAGAAACATGTTCGCTATCAAATGGATATGCATTTTGATAATATTCATAGTTGTGGTGAATATGGGTCAGGTTTAATGAAAAAATAATGAGATATTTAGAAGTGCTTAGCTTTCACAATTCATACTGCCAAGTTTTAGAGCAGAGCAAGAAACAAGTGGCCCTCCAGATATTTCTGAAATTCAAGGTCCATCAGTTTAAACTGTCATTGGTTGCAGGAAAAGGAGGCTGCTGAGACATGCTTTCCTCCTGGAAATTTTGTTGCTAAGTTTCAATGGATAGTTGACATGAAACTGTGACATGACATCTGAAATGGGTGTGTCAACCTCCATTTAGGTTTACAGTGTGAATTGTACCTACCACATCTCATCTTGGCCACTCTGGCCATCAGCCAATGCGCCATCTGAGCTCTACTGTAACCTCTCGTCAGAAACATATGCAGAATCTTCCTCTTTTCCTTCTTTAAAACAACAAATTTACAGTATGGGTACAGGTTTCTTTTTATAACTCCCTGCCGCTGTTCTGTCTAACCATCCATGAAGTAGAGCAGGAACATACTTTGTGGTGGTTTTGAATCTAATGGTATTAATAAAAATACCAACAACACCCTAGTTAATAATGAACATTTGACTGGATGGAACCACCCATAGCACTAGTAGCCTTGAGTGTAAGACAAGAGATAAAACAGGGATCTGCAAAAGAATCTGTAGTCCCTTTATTCTGCTGTCATAGTTTGCTTTTACTTTTTGAAAGTGCTGCCAGTTCTAGACAACCTATGGAAAAATAAAAGTGTGTCTTTGTGAGATGATTGTTATGTGTGTTAGAGAATCTCCATGAATGAATGTATGAGTCAGGCCTGCAGCTAGGTTCCTTCTGGGATCTTTGGCCTGCCACAATTCTATCTACTATGCTGTTTCTATAGTGGAGAAATAGGAGGGGGATAGTAAGGAGTAGGATGTAAATAAAATTCCTTTTAGATTGCCAAAGTCATCTTTTGTCTTGGTACCTTTGCACCTAACCAGAACTGGATGGGTGGAACTGCCAGCATGGCAGTGGAAGATTGGACCATGTGATGGACTTGAACTTTCAACTGGGTGGGGAAAACCAGGAATCTTTCAAATTCGGGTTTTCCCAGATGTGCCAACATGACTCTCTTAATAAATTGGAACTTTGAGCAATACTTTGCCTTGGAATCTGATTTAATTTTGGATGTTATTTGGAATCCTGACAGTATGTTTCTGTGTATTTATTCTGGGCATCTGAAAGTTCCACTTCCTTACCAGAAATTCCTATTTTAAATATAGGAGGTAGGAGACTGACTTTATTTAGCACAGACTGAACATTTTTAAAATTTATGTAGGATTTATTTAGCCATGGAGGGAATATTTGCGTTCAAATGGCAGAAGATTTGCATCGCTTACTCTGCCAAATAACATCAGACAAAAACATCCTGAATCTGGCATTTCTGAACTTATGGTTAATTTTCAATAAAATCAGTTTGTTCTACTAAGGCTGCATTAGCTGTTACTTTCTGTACATATTTCTGTGGTTGTGATGCCTCCTTCTGTTAGTGAAATCACATGGTAAATTCCAGCTGCTGATGGAAATGGAGCAAAAATGGGGCCACAGAAAGCCATATTTAGCAAAACACAAAAATAATGTAACAGATCTTAGGTATATAAAATCTTCTCAGGAATCCAAGTGGTTCTTGTCTCTTCAGTTTGGAAAAGAAACACATGGAGTGAAACTATGGCCATGGGCTGGTTATTGAGAGCCTGCCACAATAAATTAGTTGAGTTCTCAGCTATGAAGGAGCCTCCATTCCTCTGTAGTTTGCTACTTGAGAGAAAGAGAAAGTTAAATATCTATTAGAAAGTGAATGAGAATATATGAGGAACCACTTTATCTTGATGGGGCTAATCTGTTCCCCTCATTTCAGTGGAAAGTGATCAGAAGCCAAAGAATTTTAGCTGGAAAGGTCCAGGTCAAGAGCCTTTTCTACTATGGCCCCTGTCCTCTGCAATATTTTCCCATCAGAGGGTTAGGTCCATCCCCACACTCTTGGCCTTCCGGAAGAGTCTAAAACTTGGCTCTTCTGCTTGGCCTGGGCTCCCAATAGGGTCCTGCTACAGTGGGTGTGGCTGACAGGGTAGAGAAGATTCTCATCCTCATCTTGTTTCTTAACGTTTAATCTTTTTGTTTTAATGTTATAGTGTTTAACACTTTTTAACTTTTTATTATATTGTAAGCCAACCATGATTGAGATTGGTGGCATATAAATTTAATAGCTTAATAAATAATAAGAGAGATAGGAGGATTGCAAAAAAGAGAAATGGTTGTTTGGCTCTTACCCTGTATATCATGCAGGTTCTTAAGAGAACAAAGCTGCCTATGTCTGTCCTAGATATTCTTGTTCACTAGCAAGAATTCTGAATTTTAAATTCTAGGATACACAGAATGTTTTGATGTTAGGTGAGGGCTGCATGCTAATTGGAATAATAAAGAACTGGCTTCTTCAAAACCTATATGTTTTATAATAAGCACTCTGGGTTGGACTTTAGTACTGGGGAATGTATGCTGTGAAATTGACCTTTTTTTCTTGTATTATACCTGATATTTCAAAAGGAGAGAATGAACAACTTCGTACTTTTCTATTTTCCCCTTCTACTATGTCTCTGTGAAATGCTCAGGTTCAGATCTCTAAGCCGGTCCCAACAATGAGCTGTCCAGCCTTTATACCAAAAAGGAAGGGAAGGGCACAGGAATGGCACAGAAATAAGGTGGGGGTTTTATACTTCTTCCTGACAGCTGTTCCCAAGCAATGGATGTATAGCTTTGGCTGGCCTGGTTTGGCTGCAACGCCCGTGCACGCTTGCTTCACCCGCACATGTGCACTGTTCAATTTAAATTGTTCTTCGCATATGCACAGAACAATTTACAGTGAACTGTGCATGAGCAGTCACTAAAAACCAAAATGGCGGTTGCCCCGGTGGTGGCAAGGGAACCAGTTTGGTGTGGCAGGCCTGGGTCACTGCCCGTTCTGCGACCCAGGCCTGAATTCCACTACTGGTTCGGCTGAACATATTTTGTTATGCTTTTGTACTTTAAAAAAAACCTAGATAGGACTTTATTTTCAAAATAGTTCTATCCATTGGTTTGCAGCTGAGGCTAGAAAGTGGGAAATCAAAACAGCTGTTAGGAAGCTGAAGAATAGAGAGCAGTGAGGCCCTGAGACATTATTGGAAATGTTTCTTGGTTTTTAGTACTTTAGAAATGATGCTGCAAATCTTGGGCTTGCTGCAGAATTATATGCGGTCTGAGCACAATTCCTATGTGTGTACTTTGTATAATTAAATTTCAGTGAAAGTATATAATCCACTATTTAGTGTGAACATAGTGGAAACAAACACACACACCACTCTCGAAATAAGACAGGAAAGTGAACATTTATTTTGCGCCTTCATGCTTCTTACATCAAATCCAAACACATTCAAGTGCCAATTTAGGATCAACTAGGCTTATAGAATAAAACAAGCTGAACTGTTTGACAACATTTTTTAATTTCTGAAATAGTTGTACCTAAGCACACATTGAAATCATTATGCAAACAAACTTTTGAAACATTTTTAGCTGTCTGAGTAGACAGAATGGAGTATAATTCCCACTTATTTCCCTTTCAAATAGTAAATTTTGCAGGAACTGTTCCATAGCGATGGCTGAATCTGATTGTTTAATAACAACGTGTCAGATTCTCTGTTTGATATGTTAATGTGACCCTGGGTTTTCCCAGAATTCTCTCTGAGTGGCAGTTTGGTGTTCAGAGTAGATTGAGAATTTTCACAGTTGCCTTTGGCTTCACCCAGCTCCCCTGTCAGTCAGGGCACACCACCCATAAACTGCATGCCAATCAACGTCACAGTTAAAGGGGTTCTCAGTCAGCTGGGGTAACTTGAATTTTTGACAATGTAATTATGGCCCTTGCGTCCACAATAGAAGCCTGAACAGGAGGGAAGGTTTTTTATTGATTGTTTCAGAAGGGAAATTTATCAATGTCTCTGACACTGTTCATATGTATTCCCTAAAAAACCTCTCCTGACAAGTTTCCAAAGAGAAAACTAGCTCGGTGGCCTTGTCCATAGTTTTGTCCTTTCTAACAAAATTGGTCCAGGCTGGTGTGAAAGAACTTGCATAAATTTGACTTGTGAGTTTTAGTGGATAGCATCAGCATAAATGCTGTTTCACTATTGCATATTGCATTTTGTTATTGGGAACTCAGTAAAGGATGACATGCCAGAGAGTAGAATTTCCAAAATGGCAGGTAGCCTTAAAGGTAAATTTTAATAGTCATGAAACTTGATACCTTGATATTATTAATCTCAGTTTACGGTACTCATATTCAACCTGTTCTATGCCTTCCATTCCTTTCTTATTGCTCATTAATCAATTCAACATCACTGAGAGCCCAAATCATGGAGAGTAAGTAAGTGCTGCTGAAATGCACTTTTGAGTTGAATCTTCTGTGCTACTTCATGATTTTAATGATCCATTGTTTTGTATGCTTGTACAATTTAGTTATTTTTGGCAATGTAGATCTGTATCATGCCCAATAATTTTTGTCAGATCAATCTGTGCTAGAGGCTTATACTTTCCAACTTTCACACTGATTATTAAAAACATTTGTAGAATGCTCTATAGTTTCATTTAATAATAAACAAATCTTGTCACAGAAGTTGAATCATATATTCTAAGCACAACAGGGTGTCTTGAAGATGATTTTAAATTTCAACTTGGTGAATCTTCTTGGAACTTTTAAATTCCTTTTAAATGAGGAACTCATCAAAAATTGATCTGATAAGTGGATGCAACATATGAAATTGACCCAGTTTATACTATTGGATGCTGTGTTTGTTATTAAAAAAACATTGGGAAATTAAAATGTATCTTTTATTGGATTGCATTGATTCTTAAAACTGTAGAAACTTTCTCTGTCTT